GGATTTCTGACTGGTGGTGTTCCTTTGAAAAGAGTAGGGAGAGAAAAATGGTGGAAAAGTCGTGTATGAGGTAACAGATAAAACCAACAGCTGCACTATTTAGCCTAATTTTAGACATTATTTTCTCTCTGAAGGAAAGCTGCCGGGTTTTTTTAATACAGCCTTCATGGACAGGGTCTCACTTCTGTAACACAGTACTCATTGACCAGAGTTCTCAAATAAGTCAACAGAAAAAACCCAAAGTATTATGAACACAGGAAGCTGATGAGAACAGCAAGACACGGCTTTATAACAGCACATTTGATTCTCATGCCTCCCCCAACCCCAGTTTCTAATATTATTTAAGAACAGGGAAGAAGCTGTGCCAGCTTGTTGAAGGAAAACAGGAAGTTTTCCTGTTTTCAGAAACAGGAAACAGAAGTTGCAGCAGGTAAAAGGAATTAAACTGGACAGTTTTAGGAAACTGCTAAGCAATCTAGCCAAAAAAAAAAAAAAAAAAAAAAAAAAGGCCTGAAAGTCAACCATAAAACCTTCCAGAAAACACATTTCCGTCTTGCAACCAACAACATGATTACAAGAGAGACACCAAAGGTAGAAACCCTTCCCTAACCCAGAAAATAAATAAGGATTCACAGAGCAATTCAATTAGACTTCATAAAAGGCAGTAGGCAAGCCTTGCTAACCCCATTTCACCACAACAATCAGGTGGTTTGTCCCAGGTTTCCCAGTAAACCGGGGGTGATAAGGGCAGGAAAAAATAAAAGCTCCAGCTGAGAGTCAGGATTGAGGTTTATTGTCCTGTATCCTACACACATCCTGCCTGAAAACACTGCAAACCTCAAAATTGGGCATCAAGGAGATGATACTGCAGGAAACAAGAGATTTTTAAGAGAATCAGGCAACTCTTAGTTTATTTCAGAGAGTTTAAAAAGACAAAGCAGCAAAACCTCCAGTGTCCACACCAGAATTAACAAGACCTTAACAACAACAACAACAACAAAATCAAACTAGCACAATATTCCTGCTTTTTCTAAAACAGCCAAGCCCCAAAATCACTCATTCAGAGAAAAGAAGATGCACCACACTCCTCTTTGTTGGAAAGCTCCAGTGCACAGCACACAACTCGAGGGCTCCTGACTTTACAATGCAAAGGAAGGAAAAACCCTGCACGAGCCAACAGGAGCCAGGTCCCAATTTCCCATTCCAAGACATCACAGCTCATTGGCAGCACAGAGCCATTTGGTGCCAATTTAGTTTAAAAACCATATTTCCAACAACATTTTTCATGCCTCACTTGCTACTAAAGTTGAAATCTAAGTCAACAAAAAAGAGCTATTGTATGGCAACAGGCCCAAAAGCTTTTTTTTTTTTTTTTTTTTTTTTTTTAATTAACATGATTTTTAAACTGCTTTCACTGAACTTAAAACAGAGGCCCAGAGATGTCAGGGCACCTATGGGGAGGTTATCCAAGATGTCAATGTTTAATGTGATCCAAAGGCTGCTCCCATTACAGGAGACACTTTGTTGTAGCCCAAGCACGTGCCACAAGAAATGCCCATCTATTAAAGGCAGGGAAATCCTTTCACTCAAGCAATTTCCTTTAAATCCCAAGACACTGGGAAAAACAGTGTATTATTAAGGGCTGCCACATGCTCTGAAGGGAAGGGGGTGGAAACAAATCCATGGGAGAGCTGGAAAAATTGAAAACTAGAATCCCTGGCCTGGTTTCTTACGAGTCATTCCCACAGCAAACCACGGATTTCTCATCCCACACAGCCATCCTGATCTCTTGATCCTGCTCCGTGTTTCCCAGCCAGAAAGGTCATCCGGAAAAAAAACACAAAGTCCTCTCTCTCTCTCAGTCCCCAAAAATGTGGAGCATCCTTGTCTTCACTGGGCTCCCACTCAGCACCACCTCCCCGGGGACAAGCTGTGAGTAAAGTTCCATCAGGGTTACTCCCCAGAGCCCACCTGGTGTAAGTGACTACGCTCACTTTACTACAGGAAACGTTCCACTCAAACAACTTTCACGCCAGAAATTACTTTGCCTTTTTTTTTGAGGGGCAAAGCGACGAAACCCTCCTTATGGCATCCCTCAGAACTCCCGAGGAGCAGCAGGAATTAAAGGCACCATCCTGCTTCTCATGCCCAAACTCAGGTTTACGACCCCGAGGATTCCCGAGTGGAGGAACCCCGGGCTCTTCCCACATCCTCCTCTCCCAGCCCGCACCAGGAGATGTTCTCTGTGGGGTTATTGTCAGGTGAGTCCCCCTCTGCTCCTGCTCTCCCAGAGTTTCTCAGAAGTTGGGTGGGAAGGACCCGCTCTGCTCATCACTGTGCAAGACAAAGAGAAGACACAAAGCTTTAAATTCTCCCAACCCATGGAATTTAGGAGTACACAGCCCAAGGAGGCTGTAATTTAGGGCTGAAGTATTATTATTAATCAACCGTTTCTTGTGGGCAGCCCAGATGACACGTGGAAGCTTTTTTCATTAGATAAGTTCTTTTTCCAGCAGGAAAAAAAAAAAAAAAAAGGAATTGTCAGTTTGAGTCCAATAATCCTTGGCACAAAAAGAGTTGGGGGGAAAGTCATTTGGTTTTTGGGATGGGGGAGTTGTTGGTTCGCTTTTTATATGCACTGTTTGTACCTCATCCAGTTCAACTAATTCTCAGAACAACTATTCATTAATAATTCCAGTTTATGGGGCTACTTAATCAGATATTATTAATTCACAACATATCAGCAGCTCGTGGAATCAAGTGAAATTCGTTTTCCAAGACAAAATAAGCTTCTTTTCCAAATTTGTACCAGAACACTGACAAAAGTGAACTGTAGGAAAGTACCTGCTTGAAAAGTTCAACCAGTATTTTAGCACGCATTTTATCTAAATTGAGACTTTTCAGGATACACAAAGCACCTTGGAAGTATTTCGTACTTACAACTATGACATTTGTCCAAATGTATTGCAGGAATATGTGACCATATTGCCAAGGAGCTGAAATCTTCCCTGAGGATACTGGAACACTCACTACCAGTCACCACTGGACGGTTTGATGGCCCCAGCAGAGAGATTTGCTCTCTTGGAGAGCAGAATTCCAACCTGACAGAAAAGCCAACCCAGAAACCCAAGATGCTGCAGCAGACGGTGCCTTTGGTAATAAAGGAACAAAAATTAAGCCATTTTCAGATCAGCACAAGAGAAGTTCCGAGCAAGAAGGGAAACTCTGCGTGTCACCCCACATGGTATCAAATGTCTCCGACCCCAGCCTGAAGTTGGAGCAAAGTACACAGAATGAAAAGGGAAGTTTCAGTCCCACGCGAGGCCACGACGGGCCCTGGAGATGCACATCTGAGCACGGAAAGGAACCTGGTTTTCATCAAGGTTTCCAGATACAGATACAACCACCTCTTCTCCCCATATCTAAAATGTCTGATGTATACACTGTATTGCGTTCACCTCGTTTTCTGGCTATCTGTACTCCAGCAAACAGAGAATTCTACACGTGCAATGATAAAGACAATTCTCAGGTTTGTTTTTCTTAGTTTCACTCCTCTGAAAAGCCAAGAGTTGTGACACTACTGAGCCTGACCACAACCAGCACCTGAGTGTCTGTAGTAAGCGCCTTTATTTATGGAGGGAAAGAGACACATCAGTGTTCACTCAAAGTAAGTCAAAACGTGCCCTAAGACACAGGGCTGGAGGCTCCTGTCCCGCACCAAAGCCCTGCTGGACATAAACTGGTAATTCTTGGTAACTGACCATTTTCAGTGTTTTGGCCACAAGTTTGGTTCTGATTGTTTGGGGGTTTTTCCTCCTTTAGGCTGTAACACACCCCAGAACCCCCCACCATCTCCCATCCAATAGAGAACCCAAACAGCCCCAGCTTTGAAAAGGGCCAAAACCAGGCAGGAACAAACGCATCCTCAGATCCATCAAAGAAATCATTTATACCGAGAGGGAAAGTCACATAACCAAAATAAACAGCAAGCCCATTGTGCGGAGCAGCCCTGCCACCGTTCCGACAACACAGACTCTATTCCAGGCTGAACCCAACATCACAAGGAAAATAAACCCAAGGTACAAACAAAGTGCCACCGCCTCCCGTTTTGTCCGGGGCACGGAGCAGCGGGGGCAGAGGGATGCGGGGCTCAAGGTCACGGCGGGGGGGATGCGGGGATGGGGCGCGGGGCTGCCCCGTCCCGGGGCTGGCGGAGGAGGCGAGTGTGGAAGTTTATGAGCTCATCAGGATGGTTGTACCATTACATCAGAGGCAATTATAAATGGCCAAGAGCAGGGGATGGGGAGCCAATCAGATCACAGATGGGATGTCAACCTAAGACCAACTGTCTCCTGGCTTTGACAGAAGGATTTTACCTCCATAATTCAAATCCCAAACCCAAGCGATCCGCACTCGCTGCTCCCATCGCCCAGCTCCCCGCCAGCGCTCCCGCCCCGGCCCCGCGGCCCCTCCGCCCGCCCCGCGGCCACCGCGGCCCCGCCGGACCCTCGCCGCCCTCCCCGCCCCGCCGGACCCCGCCGGGCCCCGCCGAGGGGTGCGGGACCCCCCCGCCCCGGGGACGGCGCCCGGGGGTCGCGGGGCCGCGGGAGAGGCGGCGGCGCTGCCGGGGCCACGCGTTGTCCCCGGGCGCGCCCTTCGCCGCCCCGGCCCCCCGCGCCCGGCCCCGCCGGCCCCGAGCCGCCCTCCCCGACCCGCTGCCCCCCGCCGGAGCCCCCCGGGGCCGGCGGGGACCCCCGGCGTGCGGGCCGGCCGGGGAGCCCCGCACAAAGGCTGGGCAGGGAGAGGAGGAAGGGAAGGCGGCGAGGCAGCCATTTTATAGAGCGAGCGAGCAGCACAGACAATGGCAGCGCCCGGCAGCGCCGGCCCGGCGGGGGGACCCGCGGGACAACCGCCGCCGCCCCGAGCCCCCCGAGCCCCGCGACCCCCGCGCCCCGTCCCCGTGCTCCCCACGCCCGGCCCCGCGCGGCCCGGCCCGGTACCTGCTGGCTCCTGCCGAGGGTCTGTCCCCCGCCGCCTCCGCCGCTGCTCCCGGGGCTCATGGGCGCGTGGTGGCTCCTCGGCGGGGCCCCGCCGGCCGCTGCTCCCCAGCCCTGGCCGCTGCCCCCGCCGTACTGCGAGACCATGTCGGCGGCGCCCTTGGCGGCGGCCGCCCCGTCCTGCGGCCCGGCGCTATAGTCGCCCCCGGGGTAGCCCTGGTAGGCGCGGGCGGAGCTGGGGGAGGTGAGGAGCTGGTTGAGGGTGGGGGTGGCCGTGGGCTGCGGGGTGGTGCCCCCTCCTCCCGCGCCGCCGGCGGCCGAGGGACCCATGACCCCGAAGCGCTGCTGCTGCTGCTGCTGGAAGGCGGCGGCGGCCGCGGCGGCCGCGGGGGACTTGGCGGCCGGCGGCGCGGAGCCCCGGGGGGAGCTCAGGGCGTAGGCCTGAGGGGGAGGCGGGTAGGAGCCGGCGCTGCGCCCGGCCGCGTAGTAGGAGTTGTACTGGTGGTTGGGGAAGCCGTGCTCGGCCCCGGCGCCGTGCGAGTTCTGCGGAGGGGGCGGCCCCGCGGGGGCTCCCGCCGGCCCCGGGTAGTTCTGCTCCAGGCCCCCGCTCTGCAGCGCTGCCATGCCAGGGCTTTGTTGTCCGCCATGTTGGTGGAAGGCAGCGGCGGCGGCGCCCCGGCCGTAGGGCTGCCCGAAGCCGTAGGCTGGCGGGGGCAAGGCGGCCGGGTGGGAAGGGGGCGGCTGCTGCTGCTGCGGCGGCGGCGGCTGCGGCGCCCCCACCCCGTCGCTGCCGCCGCCGCCGCCACCGGGCGGCTCCGGGAGGTTATTGTTCAGGGTGGCGGCGGCGGCGGGCCTGGGGCCCGGGTTCCCGTTCGAGCTCTTCAGGTCGGACTCGGCCCCTGCGCCCCCTCCGTTGCTCTCGGCCCCGTCCTGCAGCTCCTTCCCCGACGGGCCCTCGCTCTCCGCCTGCTTCTCGCCGCGCTCCGCCGCCGCCGCCTCACCCCCCGCCTCCTCCGGGGGACAATCCCGCTGCTGCGCCTCCGCTTTCTTCAGCTCGGATGGAGCCGGGGCGCCCAGGCTGCTGGCGGCGGCGGGGGCGACCTGAGCAGCCATGATCCCCCCCCTCCCCACCCAGCCACCCCCCCGGACCGGTCCCCCCGAGCTGCTCCCTGCCTGGCCGGCCGGCGTGAGGCCTCGCTGCTCTGCTCTCCCCGCTCAGGCGGCGGCGGGCGGCTCTTCAGGGCAGCGGGGGCTCATTCCCCCCCGGCCTGCTCGGCGAGGCGGGGAGGGCTCCGCTGGGCTGGGCTTCCCGGGGCCTGGCCCCGCTGTACCTCCTCGGTTGCAGCCGGCGGAGAAAGGGGAGGAGGAGGGAGTGGGGGGGAAGGAGGAGGAAAGGGGGGGTGGGGGGGGACCCGGGACGGGGCTCCCGGTGCGGGAGAGGCGGGAGGGAGGGAGGGGGGACACGGCGGGCGGGCGGGCGCCGTCCCCGGAGCGGGGCCGAGCGGCGGCGGGGCCGGGCTGGGCGAGCTCCGACTCTGCTCGGCCGAGCGGGCTCAGTCCGACACGAGGCTCAGCGCTGCCATTTTACCCAGCGCCGCGGCCGCCTGCCAAACCCGGAGCGGAGCGCAGCCCGGCCCGGAGCGGAGCCTCCCCCCCGTCACAAAGGAGGAGCGGGCCGGCCCCGGCCGCCGCCGGCGCTGAGCTGCCGCTCGCAAAACCCGCGGCGGATCCGCGGAGCCGGGGGCGGGGGGGGGGCGCAGCGCACCCCCCCGGACCTGCCCCGGGGCGCTCCCGCGGGGGGAGCGGGGCGATGTCCCGCGGCGGGAGCCCCTCCGGGTTCTCGCCGGAGCCGCCGGGCTCGGGGGGTTTGGGCCGGTGGGTTGCCGAAGCGCCTCTTCTTTGTCCCTAGAAATTCCATTTAGAATTAAGCCCTCTGCGAACTGTTAGCGGTTGTCATTTCCTCTCCGCTTGGCCGTGTCCCTCTGGAAAAGGCGTTGGCGGCGCGCCAGGGCTGTGACTGCACGTGCAGGACAATCCAAGAAAGTCCGGTTCCCCTGCTCCTGCCAAGGCGAGGGCGGTGGGCACGGAACCAGGAATTCCCAGATCCAAAACCACCTGAACGCGTCTAGACACAACACGTTGGGCAATGGGACAAGGAGGCTCTGGCAGTCGCGGTGCTGGAGCTCCCCGACTGTGGAGAGGTGAACTGGGAACTGGGCCATGCTCTTCTGCAACCCTTTCAGGCCCAGATTCCCACCTCCTCCATCCCCGAGGCCTTTGCCAGAGCGGGAATAGGGAGGAGAGGAACATACCTGGAACTCCGTCCTGGACTCAGCCTGGCCTATGCCAGCGGGGTCTGTACCTGCCTGTTTTACTTCAAATGGTGTTGGGCTGCAGCAGGGCATGGAAGGTACAAGAAGATGAGTTATTTGGATTGTAAACACCAAGAAGTTAGAAATTAGGACACAGTTGTCTGGTGAAAGTGGCAGGCATGGTATGGATTAGGCCGGGGTTCCATGGACTGGTGTTCCTCTGGAATATGGAAATATTTGGAGAAGCGAAGTTTTAAGTAAATACAACTTTAAGGAGAAAGAAGACAATGGGTGGAGGGTCAAAAGGCTGAGGCTGCCATTTTAGAACATCACCCAAAAAGAGAAAACAGGGCAGAAGTAACCCCTGTACAGTGACAAACACACAGGGCTCAGCCCGAACCCAACAAGGGCAAACTGCAAGGAATCCCATTTTAACTGGTGACACCGGGGAAACACGAGTACAGCACAAGAGGCAAGGCCAAGGGTAGCAGAACTGGATCCCTGCCAGCCCCCTGTGCCTGTCAGGGGTGAAGTAAAGTGAAGTGAAGGTGTCAGTGTCTACTGGCATCAACTCAACCCTCACGCTCATTATAGGACTTGTAATATAAAATACTTATCATCTAGAATGCAGGTGGTGGAACAAAGGGGTTTATTCCAAAGCTGGAAAGTGGGAGGAGAGGAGGGACAGAGCGATTGAGAGCAAAATTTTAAATGTTTTCTAGAGCAATAAACTGTTCTGCGGGGTCCAAACAAAGCTGCTTTGCCATTTCACAGCCTGCAAGCTGAGTGTGCAACGTGGAGCAGATTCCATCCACCAAATTGGCCGGTCGGTCTTTGTCCACAGCTGTAAATAAACTGCTAGAAAGGAAAGGGTGATAATTGATGATATCAGTATTGTGATAATACTCAAAGGCCTTCGTGAGGGCTGGAGCCTCAGTGCAATGATGGAATCTCACACGAGAGGCTCCGTGGCTTTAGTGAGATCTGTGCAGACACAGAGCAGCAAAACCACCAAGATACTCTTCTTCAGAAGAGTTTGGAAACCGTGGAACATGCTAGAAAAAAAATTGGTCCACATCCTCTCTCCAGAGGAGTTATTTGATGAAACCCTGGGTTCTGGAAAGACAACAATAGGGAAAAACTCCTCCAACATCAGGTTGGCTTTATTAATGTCTATGGTGGGCTACAGTGCCCCACAGCACCAAAACACTCTTCCTCCGATGTTTCATTTACATTAAACTTTAAAAAACACCAACAAACTGGAGAGAATTCTGCCATTTAACCCCAGAACCATGTCAAGCACCCACCTCCCCAACTCCAAGGCCACAGTCCAAAGCCCCACCAAATAACTGGGCACCACCAAAAGTTTAACCACTTCAGTTCAGGCACTTGGGATGCAGCTCAGGCACATCCAGATAAAGATCCCATGCTCACACCTCCCTACCTGTGTGGGTCTTTTGGAATCTCCTTCAAGGAGCACTGTGTCAGACTATGAAACCCGGTGTTGATGGTAATGTGCAAAGCAGCCTGGATTCCCCAGCCACCCACGCAGTGAGGAGACACTCACTTTACCAAATGTTTGTGAAAGCTGAAGCAGATTTTGGAATACGCCTCATCAATGAGGCCCTGGCACTCTACTCAATACTCAGGCATTCAATGAATTTCCAGCTATGAGGATTGGGAAGCAGATAACAGTACAGCTCTTAACAACATTGCCACCTCCGAGCTGAAAATCCTCCCGCCGGTCCCGTCATCCCTGGGGTGTAACGACCACCAGGACCGGACAGGACTTTTCATTTTGACACATCAACTCTTTTCCCAGCTGGAGCGATCCCTGCTGAGCAGCCGCGCTCCCTTCCCCGTGTCCCCAAGTGCTGAGCACGCTCCCCTCAGCCCGGCTCAGCCCCTGGCTCTCAGATAGGCTGGAAAACCAGCGCTCACATGGCACTGCAGGCCACCACCACCGCGCTGGCTCCTCCTGACTGGAAGTCTCCTTCATGAAGGTGGCCGTGCCATTTAACCCAGCACTGAGGCAGTTTAGGAAACCTGGTCTAGATTAGAGTACTAGAAACAGGAGTAGCGTCTCCCCCCTCCAGGAGAAAAAAAAAAAATCAGGCTCTGCCAACTGTGTGATGGCAAATATGGACTGAATCGTTGACATGGAAACCGGACTAAAGTCAGCGCTGCCTCAGCTCAGCTCGCACACACACAAGTTATCATTATCCCCAGCCTTTCCCTGGCTACAAACACGGACTGGATTTGTGGCTGCGGGAATTGGGTGCAGCTTCTCCAATAAAGTATTAACCGAGCACAACTAAGCCAGAGCGAAACGAGCTGAGGAGGAACTAATGTAGTTGGGCGAAGGAGGATGCTCTTCCATTTCACTGAGAGAGGCACAGCGTGCTGAGATGTGCAGACTGGACCCAAGAACAAGAGACCCATCTATTATAATTCATGGAGCACGCTGCAAGAAATGGGATGGAGCGAGGAAAGGTTATTGGTTGCACCTCAGCTGATCTGAGAGGGGGTTTGGTAAAGAAAATTGCATTTTCTGTAAATATGTTTATATTTGCCCAGCCCATTCCTTGCAGTGTTTTAGCCACTGTCGTATCTAGGTTAAACGCTCCCATTGTGGCTTCATCCCCACGAAAGATAAATATTATTTGAATTATTTGTTTGCTGGCCATCATGTGAGGCAACGCTTACTTATCCACCTAAAAATAACGTTACAATATTGTATAACCTCCCTTTTTTGGGGAGACACAATGGGTCTGCGCTGCGAGTTCCAGCCGAAGGTAACTCTGTCCCTTCAGCTGAACGCAGCAGCTCAAAGGCAGGCGTGGATTTTCCAGGGGTTTTGCTGCTTCCCACGCCAGGTTTTTTCCGCGGGCAGGGAGCGAGCCCCCGGCTCGGCCGCTCAGCGAGAGCCCGCTGGTGACATCTGACAGCGAGCTGCGAAACTTTGGATGCATTTTAAGGCAGGAAAAGTGGACTCGGCCTGACTCGAGGAAATGCATTATTTTAGCAAGCGCTGGCGAGGAGGAGGAGGAAAAAGCGAAGCGGAGTTTGCGGAGGGGAAGGGACGCGGGAGCGCAGCCCCCCCCGCGCATCCTGCGCGACCCCCGGGGGCGGCCGGGGCTGGAGCCACGCGTGTCCCACCTCTCACCCCAACCACCCGCGGGGTGGGGGCAAAGCGGGGCGGCCGCAAGTTTTTGGGGCACGTGTGCGTGCGCGGATTCGGGGAGCGGCGAAAAAATGAGGCCGGAAGGTGGAATTTAGTCATTCCAGGGCAAACTGAGGGGTATCGGGAAGGGGAGGGAAACAGTAATGAAGTGCAGGGGAAGGAGCGAACCCCTTTTATTTTATACACGGGGGGCGCACCCCGGCCGCCCTCGGACACCAGCGCTCCGGTGCGCTCGGGGAAGGAAGAGTAAATCTACTTAAAAAAAAAAAAAAAAAAAAAAAAAAAAAAAAAAAGGAAAAAAAAATCAAAACGCGGACCGGAGTTTGCAAAAACCCCTGCACTGGATCCGGAGCCAGCCGTCTGGTTTCCCTGAATCCCACCAGATTTGGGAGCTCTCGGGTGGGCTGGAGGAGCAGCCGCGTTCGGCTGCGAACCCCACTGTGAAGAGTTAAAAAAAAAGGGGGGGGGAAGGGCTTTTAAAGCTGCGAAAAGAGAAAGATCTCAACTCTGGTCCTGGATTTTCCCACTGAAGGGAAACTATTATTGTGTTCCAAGTCCTCGGGACCCGGCGATGCCGTGCGGGAGGGGACAGCAGCAGGTTCTCCTGCCTGGAAAAAGCTGTCCCTCGGCCTTTCCCCCACCTCGGCGCCTCTTTTCTGTGGGGAAGGGGTGGTAAAAAAATACATCCCCTCCCGTGAAATTCTGCCCTCCTAAAGTGTATTTTTAGAGAAGTTTGAGTTCAGGCGTCACGACTGGTGGGGGGGGGGGGGTTGCTGCGGGAGATGCAGGCGCTGAGAAAGAAGGTTTTTTCCCCCTTTTCATCAAGCTCTTGCACTGCCATTTTCCCGAGGCAGGGAGGGAGCGAGGGAGGGAGAGCGGAGCGACAGACAGCGCTGGCGAGGAAGTTTCTCACGGCAACTGCGGGCTGGATCGGGAACGGAGCCTTTTGTTCCCGGCAAGTTCAGCAGGAGAGAGAGTTGGAGTCTGCTGAAGAGAAAAACCAGCGGAGAAATAAAATGGAGGGAAGTGGGAAGAGAGGAGAGAGAGCTGGTGCTGAGCTGAGATTAACTGCAGAGCACCGAGCTCGGGTGTGCGAGGCAGCTCGGCATTTATTTAGAAAGTTGGTGTGGTAGCCTGAGGCAGAAATCCCTCGTTAAGTGCATGGGAATGAGTGAGAGACCCAAGGACACGCAGTGCTGGGCAGGAAGTGGAATTTTCCAAGGGGTTCACATCCTTCGGTGCTCTTTTTGCCAAGATTTGATCTCCTTTCTCGATGAAGGCTGCCTCCTAGAGACATCAGGGAAAAGGCCTTAAAGATGTGGCGTGCTCTAGGTCTGTTTAAGCTGAATAATTAAAAGTAGGGGGCACCTTCCCGCAGAGATTACAGCGAGGTCTGAAGACCAGATTCAACCTTGGGTACGGCCCTGCCTCCCTTCCCTTTCCCTTTCTCTCCAGTGAGTGTTGAAACACGGTGCATTTGTGCCCATGATCTCTGAACGGGGTGAAAAGTCACCTGAAAAACAGGGGCCCCCCCCTCCGATTTAATGCTTATACACACCCCCAGTATACCCTACATTCACATCCACAATTGCCTTTGTCTCCCTGTACACGCTGCTAATCCTTCACCCCAAACCACACGTGCTCTTTGCATGTGTGCAGACCCAGAATGTGAAATAAACTTGCCTGAATTAACCCCCAAATCGCTGACAAGCATCCATCCCTTTAGCAGGCACCCAGGAAGGTGGGGCAGAACTTTAATCCCCTCATTATTTCTACGCTTGGTGGTGGAATCAAAAAGCAGGAGCCTGATCACGGGCAGAGTGAGTTTTTCAGAGCAAGTTTGGGGTTTAATGCGGTGTCCCGAAAATACAGTTTGATTAAAAACGTTCATCACCTTCTGCCTTCCCGGCAGGGCAGGGCAGGGCAGGGCAGAGGCTCCTTCTCCCGGCGTGGCTGTGACAGCAGCTCAGCGAGACACCACGTGGGAAAGCCGGGTTCGGGATTTAAACGTGCTTTTCCACTCCGGCCATGAGGGAGGGAGAGCCTCAGCTGGGGGGGGGGGAATAAATAAATAAATAATGAAAAAAGCCTTTTCGTGGTGCTCAGAAGCGACCTCTGTGGCTGCCGGGGACTGAAGTTCAAGAGCCCTGGGCTGGGAGCGCGGGGGAAACGCGACTCAGGAAAATCCAACAGGAGCAGGAATGGAAAGGGGGGTGGGGGGTGACGGGACCCCCCGCCCCGGGAGGCGCAGCGGGCTGGGAAGAGCCGTCCTCGCTCCCATCCCTGCCATCGGAACCGGCCCTGGGGCGGCCGTGGGGGAGCACAAGGAGCTCCGAGGGTGGGGGGACACAGCTCCCGAGCCTCTGCTCGGTCCCCCGGTGCCCCCACGACCCTTCGCTGCATTTCCACGGCCAAGCTCCGGGGGCCGGCGGGGGGGTGCCCGGAGGAGCCCCCCGAGAGCGGCCCCAGCCCCGCAGCACCGACCCCACCGACCTGGGGGGGTTCCGGGACGGGGCGGGGGATCGGGGGGGCCCCGGCGGTGTCACCGCCCTGCCCGTCCACCGGGATGTTCCAGGGAGCCGCCTCGCACCGGGACCTCTGCGGGCCTGGGAAAGTTGAATAGGGAAACGTCAGAGAGCACCAGGCAGGAATTTCAGTGCATCCCGTGTGTTATGGTGGTGTGAACTTTTGCGTATCGGGAGTAATTAGCAGCGAGGCTGTTAAAAGAAGATTTAAATACACCACCCCCTCTCCCTCTTCCCCCCCCCCCTTTCTTTCCTGGTCCAAAATGGTCCAAATCCGGTTTACCTCTGACACAACCCCCACCGGGACAGAGGTGAGAGCACAAACCCCACGGTTTGTCCATGTAGGCAGGAAAACACATAAACCCCCACATATTAATTGACACGTCAATTAAAATAAATATAATTTTGTTACGGTTATTTTTGGTTCTTCCTCCCCCCCAACTTTGTTTTACTAAAGCGGGGAAACATATACAGAAACCTTCCTTGCAGTAGATGCCTTTTTTTTTTTTTTTTTTTTTTTTTTTTTTTTTTTAAACGGAGCCCAGATGCTGGTCAGGATTAAGGTTACACCAAACACATTCTACATTGCCATTTTCCAAACAGAATAAAGCAGATGGAAAAGATGGAAGAGGATAAGGCAGGAACGGAGCAGCCCTGAAAACTGCAAGCCCTGCACTAACGCTGGAGAGGAGTGAGCTGGGATGCCAGGAGAGGCAGAAAGAAAGAATCCAGGCGTAGCAACGCTGCATATCACATTCCTCACGGTTAAAATGAGGATCTTTAATTAAACAGCTGTCAGAATTTGGGCTTTAAACCTTATATTTAAAATGGGAAAAGGAAATTCAGCTGCAGCCGTACACTGTGTCTCCTTAGGGCTCAGTCCTAGAAGATGTGAAAGCCACTGGCCGGGGGCCATCAGAGTACTTAAGTCTCTGTGTAATTTTAAACATCAGCAGTCCCGGTGATTTTCAGGATATACTCCCTTAAAGTTAGCCACGGACTCAGCACTTTGCAGGATCCGCCCAGCAGACTCACAGCAGCTCAGAGCTGGAGAACACGAGTGTCTGCACATCTGAGAAACAAAGAAAAATCTTCTTTTCAGCGGGCTAAAGATTTTTCTTTTATTTCTAAAGGACACCAGTTCGTCCGTACTGGGAAGTTGGATCAAACTGGAATAAAATCTTGAGGGGGAGTTCACTGAATCCGTGCTGGTTCGTAAAATACCACCAAATGTGGCAAACCCAAATTTTGGGTGAAATGCTACAGTGGTGTAGTTTACTCAGCAGTGTGACTCAATCCCATGATGTGCTTTGAAAATCTCGTGCAAAACCTGATTTTAAGATGTTTTGCTGGTGTTCTATAGGCACACCCACGACACAGAGAAAGAACACGCAAACTATTAAATATTCATGCTATGGGGAGAACACTTAGTAGCGTCCCTTCATTCCAGCTGTACAAAGGCAGGCACAAATAGCTGGTGGAAAAACGAGTAAACCAAACCAACCCCAATATTCCACTTAAACAAGGTGTTGAGCAGCTTGGAAACACTTGCTCATGGAAGGGTCGGAGAGAAATTCTAATTATCTGCCTTTCAGCAGCCACCCATAAATGTGTATTTCCCAATCTGAGTTCTGTAACCAGCCCACATGGGGAGCATTAGGGATTCACATTCACACACGGGGTCTGTGTGTGGGGATGGGACCCATTTTCTGCTCGAGGCCTCCACCCCATCGACCTCAAATGCACGTGGCCTCAAAGTCAGATTCTGAATGTCACGAGTTGGTACCTCAGTGACATTTACTTAGAAACAAAAAAATTCAAACACATTCTGACCAGCTTGGCTGGTACTTTCAGAGTTCAGCTGTGGGACTGTGAAACGAGGTCATTTTTATCTATCAGTTACCTCTGACTTGAGAGGGGGCCAAGGTGATCACACCTTGGCAATAGCTCTGCTTGTAAAGGCTGGGCATAGCACATGAATTTTCAGTAAAACCAAGGCATTGGTCAGAACTTCCTCTGTAAAACACGCTGAAGAATCATAAAAAAATACATAATTTTCAAATATTTGGAAAAATATTGAGTATATCTGGCAAACCCCTGAAAAAACAACACCAAAAAACCACCCCGAATCCAAACATTTAATTAGGTAGAATTGGGTACCTGAGTGAAACCTGCTCAGAAAGATTCCTGTTCAGTTTAGCTGTTAGAAAAGAGTGGAATTAACTACACGACAAAACAAAGCATTTAAAAATATGACTTTTCCCCAGCTGCAGGAAACATAGTGGCTGACCTCGGTTTTCCCGTGCCATGGGTTCATGAGGGCACTGAGAGCACTGGAGCCTTCCCTACGTAATCCTGACCCTCTGGATTCACTGTCTTCCCATTGTTTTGTTTACTTTGTCTATTCTTAGAGTGTGTTTTGTTCAGGACTACCTCGTGCACGAGTGCAGAGTCCCCAGCACACTTCAGTTTCTGTTTAAATAAAGCTGAAGCAGCACAAGGAACAGAAGTTCTGCATGTCAGTGATCAGCCACTGGCACTTATCAACAGTCCCACAGGATAACAGAGCCCTGGACCCAGCTATCATTGCTTAAGGACCTTCTCATTATCATTATTTTTTGAAGAACTTTGCAATTCATTACTTTTTCCTGCATCCACAGTCGTGACAAAGCATCTTTCTTTAAAAAGGCAAAAATACCAAACAAAAAAAACCCCACCAACAAGCAAAACCCAATCAAAACATGAAGCCTTATAGTTGAGTTGTGATGCAAATGAGTGTTTTTTTTTTCTATCACTTCTAGAAGTACAAAAATAATCAAAAATTGGCATCCTATTATGGGGAGAAAGGAGAAAAAACCACCCCAAAATCAATACAAATACCTGGAAAGTAAGTCCAGACAACTGGAGGCTAATTAACCTGACCTCAGCAAGATGCAAAATGTAAATTATTTTTCCTCTGGAGGGGGCAAAGATGTAGAGGAAAGTAAAGAGATAAAATGCAAAAAAAAAAGGTTTAACGCAGGCAATCATGCCAGACAAAGCTGATGTCTCTCTTTGATAAGGAAGCAGATTTTTCTGGGTAAAGGAAGACACAGTTGATCTCACAGCCCCCAAAATCAGTAGAGCGTTTGGTCTGGTGCAACATCTGAAAATACAAGTTAAATTGGAAAATAGGAAGATTAGTGCAAGAAAAGTTTTCTGGGTAAAAAAATGACTAAAAATCCAGCGCTGGGTTGTGCTGAAATGGGAACTTCTGGGCTAAGGATTGAGTGCTTTGAAAAGCTTCTGCTCTCAGATCTGGTGCTATGATTGGCTTTAAGTGACACAAGGAACTGGGAAAAGAGTGTTAGTACAGATAGTTACTGACAAATTCAAAAAGCATCAATGCAGAGGACTGGAATATCCTAAATGAAGAACTGGGTGAGGTTCTGGAACAGCACAGGAATCCTGAGGAATGGACTGGTGGAATGCAGTAATAAGATTAATGCAAATCACAAGGCTGTTCACACGGGGACTGACAGCCAAAACTCTTGTAAACTGGGAATTCATCACAGCTAACAGGGAAGGATGGAGACTCAGAAGCGTTATTTAGTCACAGGAATGGAGATGACAGGTGAGATCTGAAGAGCAGGTAAGGCACATCCAGATGTTACGGCTCTCTTACGGAATTTTGGGTACAGCTTCTAGTCGAGAATGACATGTGAAAGCTGGGATAGTCACAGAAAAGGCTCCCTGAGCTGGTTATGAGAGCAGAGAATCTGTCAGGAGAGAAGACTGAAGCCTCATTTCAGCAAACTCCAACAAAAGAAAGGGAAGAGAGGACAGGGTGAGTCCATATACACAGGTTATGGCTTGAACACAGGTATTTAAACTCGAGGGTTATGTTGGCACCAAATATATGTCTAAAGGCCTGAGTGCAATTAAGCTGATTGCTAGAATAGAATGTCTTATTATTAGAAAACCTAGGTTTTAGAGAATCCTTCCAGTGGGGCTCTCAGGCTGGAAGGGACTTACTGTTTTTATGCTGGAGGTTGATGTCCTTATGGATGAAGTGGGATACAATTTCCTCAAAATCCTGGTGTGAGGCAGCCAACAGAGACTCCTAAAGCCCAGTGTGAGGAAACTCCAAATTAGAGGAAATAACCAGCACCAGCAGCCCCTCTGAAAGCTTTTCTGCAACCTGGTGAAGAAGATATTCACAATTAATTTACTGGGGCTGGTTGGAAGTTGGTTTGTTGTCACTCTGGAACATACAGATACAGTGGAGAACTTTGAAAGTTTTGCCATTAATTTCCCTACTTTGCACCAGTGAAATGAGAGGAAAACCTCTGCAATATTGTGAAGAAACAGGTATGGTGGTTAAAAGGTATTCAGACACTATAGTGATAAGCACAACGAAAATCCATTACAATTAGTAATTCTGTATTTACTGCAGCACTTGAATTACATGCAATAAATAAAATATGGAAGCAAACATCAAATAACAAGGATAAAAGAAAACTCTGAATGAGACGAGTTTGAGAAGGCAGGTTGTATGATTTAATTTATAATTAGGGACTGCATCACAGTGCAAGGAACTGGATTAGGATGGGCAAAAGTGTAAGGAATGTACACAGGAAAATTGAACACACCAGTCAGTCCCCTGGTAAATTCATCCCGGTCACAGGAGCGTGAAGAAACACGGAACACAGAGAGAATTAATGTGGGCCCTGGAGTAGGGACCAGCTCAGCACATTCCCTGTGTCAGACAGTGCTTGGAGAACTAAGCAGTGATCCTTGTGGAGCTGAGCCTGCACACACTGTCACCTCAGGAGAGAGGGCTCCTCTGCCTCTGCAGGGAACTGTTGGAAAACCAGGACTTTCTAAGGGTACAGCTTTCCAAAAATCCCAAAGGGTTGCACCTTCCAGAAGCTCACACCACAGGTCTGGCTTTTCTAAGGGTTCTTTGTTTCTATCATAAATAACACTCCAGGAACGTGGATCACCTGTGTCTTCCATCTCAGGTCTCTTCCTCTCCACACAGAACATACCTGCTCTGGCAACATAGCACCAAACCATGGCTGCCCTTCCTGGGATCTCCTGTTCTCAACTGTCTGAGCTCTGGGGAGCTTTTCCATGATTTAAAACACACAGTGTCCCATGCTGGCAAAGGCTCCTTCCTTGGGTCTGCCACCTCTTCACCTTTCTGTAAACAATAACATGCACTAGCACGGAGCCAGAAAGCGTCTTCTCTTTTGGGGTTTTCAATTTTTCTTTCCTTTTTCTGCAATTTCTCTTTTTCTCAGTGTTCTCACCAGAGGACACCTCACAGCCACCAATTGTATCTTCATGCCATCAATGTTTGGGAGCAAACCAGGATCCCAGAACTTTTCTGTTGTTGTTTTCTTCTTTCTTCAAATGCCTTTCAGATTTAATTCTGGTTCATCTCACCTCTAGGGACTCTATTATTTTTAAAAAGGGCCATTAACTAATTATTCTGCTTGTCTTGTTAATGAGAGAGTGAAACATTTAGCAAGAAAATGATAATCTAAGACTCGTGTGTTCTCTCCCATTTGCAAACAAACACTCCCTTTCCATCTCAGAACTTTTAGGACATTAACACTTTCTCAGTAATAATAACACGAAACATAATTTTCATCCAATATTGAAAATTAATATTATCTCACAATTATGTCACAGCTCTACTTCCATTGGCAGGCTGACACACTTGGAGTTCACGAGAACAGTGCATTTGAAAAGCCTCCTCAGCTCCTTATTTTCAGGGATGGCATTTTCAGTGGAGTTTTTTTTTTGGAGCCAAGGATCCAGACATGGGCCTGGATGAGGAGGGGAGCAACTGGCTGGGCAGACAGTGGTTATAATGGACCACAAACTGAATTTGAGTCAGCACAATAAAGATAATACATCACAGAAATATTTAATAAAGCTGCTTTACGTAGGACACCCCTGACAATTATCTTGCTGAACTCAGTGAAATCTCAGCTGGAATATTCTACCCGTTTTCAGGTACCACATAAGAAAATAAAAGCAGATACAAAGCAACTGGAAAGAGCAAAAAGAGAGCAGCAAGAATGCTGGGAGGCTGAGGAAATCTAACCTTCAAGAACAAAATGAAATGCTGGATTTGCTTAATCAATTAAGAAAAAAAAAAAAAAAGGAAAGAAAAAAGAGAGAGCTCATGGGAAGGGATGAAATAGTCCATTTTGTCAGCAGCCAAATGTTCATGTCCACTGGAAATAAAGAGGTAATATTCTTAATTCACAGTGAGATTTGATAAAGTAACAAAAGTGAGGTTTGAACAATGAGAACACTGTATGGGAAGCTGTAGAAAACCCTGCATTGCTGATTTCTTTAAGGCCAGGATACACAAACATCTGTATGGGATACAGATAGGCATCTCTCTTATCTCAGAGTGGGATGGGAGCTAAGGACCTCCTGATGGCTCTATGACAGATATATTTGTTATTATAGCAAATGCAGGAAGAAAAATACTGGTGGGAAAGGAATGTCTCAATTAGAAAAGTGGGCTTTGAGATGAAGAACACACGGGTTTGGGCCCCTGTCACAGGCTGTCACTTCAGGAAGTTACCTGGAAGACCTCCTTCCAACTGCCAGCTCCAGAGAGCTGAGGGAGTGTGTTAAGCACATCCCTTATGCTGATAGACAGACACACTGAGTTTAGAGTTTACAAGCCATTTCACATTAAATATTTCTTGTTTTAATAGTTTGATTTTGCCAAGCCAAACTACTTTGATAGTTCTGTTGCAGATCTCCACCGAGCTCCACCTCAGCCCACAGTAGCATGACATCACCTAACAGTGATTGTGAATAAAGTCAAACGCTGTTTCTTTTATTACATTGCTGTGTTACCTCATGTTTGTAAAATCCTAATGCAGTTTCTCCTTAAAAAAAGGCTGTTTTGCAGAGGCTTTTTCACTGGATGTCCGTAACACTGAAAGTATCTTTCCATTCCTTGCTTCCCCACACCTTGCCACAGCTTTCCCTGCCTCTGGCAGACCTTTGAACACATCAGGGCAAGCTCAAATTTCTAACAGGTTTGTGTGATACCATTCTGCACCCATTCCATGGTAAATCACCTCCACTGGCGAGCAAGGCCCTGTGCAACCACTGAGGAGTTGTTCTCTGTGTTCATAAATCCTTTCTCCTGGCCCAAGAGGCCATGCTTATTCCTTGAAGCTCCATGGAGCTCCAGTCCTTGGACTTGTGCTTGGGAAAAAATGTAGGTAATTTCTTATGCCAAGCAGAGAAGATCAGATATATACATTATAAGAGATCCCATGACAATATCCCTGGCAAAACTGGTAGTTTTCTGTTGGAATTAATCAGAAATCTGCTCTTCCCCAGGTGGCAATGGGCTCCTGCATGTTAAGGGAAGTTTTGGGTTGTGTCCTGCCCCTGCAGCTGAGCTCACAAGGGTTTCTAGGAATGCAGTTTTGTCATCCTGATGTTTGGCTGCTGCTCCTGGCCGTCCCAGTTCTGCACCAGTGCCCTGTGCTATCAGTCCCTGCTAGCAGGCTACACCCAGGAACACCACTGGGGAAACTGCTCCTGATGAATCCCCTACAGGAGGAGCAGGTTGATGACATCTCACTGTTTCTCTTTCTGCATTTCTTCTATTATCAAAGCAGCAAAAGCTCTGTGAGGCCAAATAACTAAACCTTTCCACCTGTGCAACCTCACAGGAATATGCATTGTGATGGATCTCCCAAGTTTCTTCTTCGTGCAGCATTTTGAAAAAGAAGTTGCACAGGCAAAAAGAAAAAAAAACAAACCACCCAACAAACAAACCCAATGGATGCCAGGAGAAAAGGAATAGTCATTTGTCAGGTTGACCCACAGAATCCTCAAATTCCTGAGAATTCCCTGTCAACACGTTGTGAAAAGTAACATCCAGCTGAGCAGCAGAACACCACTCCATGGGATAACTGCTGAGAATATCTTGAGAGGTAAATTAATACAAGAAAGAACCAAGCACCGTGCACCCGATTAACAGTGAAAATACCTGAAATCAGCATAACAAAGTAGGGTGAGTGCACTTGTGCTCAGGATGGTTAAACAGCTGTAATTAGATCAAACAAACTAGATTGATGTATCATCCCTTTGTAGCTGTGGCCTCAGAAGGCAGGTCAGGAGCTAAGTTCAGTAAAACAGTTTTAGTACTGCAGCTTTTATCTAACAAGGCACAGCCACACACTCACTCCAAAGTAAATACTACTCAGGAGACCTGCTGAATTCCAAAGAAAAAGAGTTTCTAGAGAAGATGGCATTCTCTAATAACAACCTGAACTTCTGTCAGTAATAAAACTCACCTAATTAATTTGATACTGTACCCTTTGGATAAACAGTGCACAAAATTTTGGTTGCAAATTCATTCAAGGCATTTGAAGGTCTTTCTTGAGCTGTTCCCTCCTCACTTAAAGTGCCTGCACAGAATGGGTGAATTCTAATTTGCTTTGTTCTTTCAGAACCTTTTAATTAAATGTTAAGAAAACCCGTGTAGAACAACGTTGTATGAAATATGGTCACTACCTCTCAGAGAGGAGAAAAACACAAGGTAGCAGATGGTGGGAAGAGGATACATGTGAAGAAATGTAAATAGGAGGGAACCTCACCAAATCAAAGATGTTAAGGCAGAACTGAAAGCGCCTGCAAGAGCCCTGGGAGAGCTGAGGAGACGAAGTAACAACTGAGCTCAGAGATATCAGCTTGCCCAGAAAGGACAAAACACCAACAGGAAGCTCTAATCTTATAGAGGGAACGACCCTTCGTAACTAAGGGCATCGAGATTGTTGTGGAGGATCCTTAAAGTGAGCTTGGAAGGAGTGGGGGAAGCAAGGACAGGTGCCAACAGATATATTCATCAAACAGTCTCAGAATCAAAAAGAAGCCCCTTCGCTACTTCATAACTGTAAGTAATGAGGACATTATAAAAGAACTGATAGATAACCTTGTATTGAACGAAAATGAGACGAATTGTTGAAACTGGGCAGGAGACCAAGCAAAGAGCAGCTCGGGAAGTCATCAGAAGAGTTCTAACCAGCAGAAACAGCCAGAGGGTGACTCTGGGGTTAGGAGGAGATGTAGCCTGTGTGTTACCATTGTTGGCCCAGAACCTGCACTCCAGGTCCTCTGAGGTGCTGTGGCTGCACAGATTGTTGGCTGGTAGCCCCATCTCCCATGATAGAGCCAAGTAAATTAGTGAGTAGATTACGTTGTATCTGCATATCAGAGCAGTGCCTGGATGAAGACCAAGAAGGTCTTTCTAGTATTTTGATTAAAAAAGTTATCAATACTAGACCTATTCTGTCAAATGGAAGGCACCAAACACCAGAGGATATTTAAGGGTGAAGGGAGGCACAGCTCCACAAACTTCATGGAGCCTAAATCACAACTGTTCTCATTCTGTATCTCCTCCTGCCCCAAGTTCCATTTGTCTGGGTGATTTATGAGGTGAGCTCTGGCTGTGCAAGGCTTCTCTCCTTCTGAATGGAAGAACAATTCAGATAAGAAACAAATCTCTTCTGAGTGAATAGAGGAAACTGGACTTAACTGCATTGACTAAGGTATTTATTGTACATCTAGGCCAGATGAAGCTTAGCACATTTAATACATATAAAACTGCAGAATGCTGCTGGGAAGAGCAGAAAGCAAACAAAACAGACTCACAAGTTCCTTAGTAATTTAAATTAAGCCACTAAAGTAACAGAAAAGCGAGAGCAACAGATATCTAGGAATTCCAGTGGCTGATTCCAGCCACCCACAGGAACTGAGGAGCAGTTTGGGCTCTCTGGCCCCTCTGGGACAGCAAAGCTGTGATCACATAACCCCCAACGGGCAGCACTTTTGTTGAGACACTGGATATAATTACAGACCAAAAAAAAAATACAACTGCAACTTACAGACCTGGTCCTGAGCAAGGCACGTGTGCTTTGGTGACTCAGCAGTTCGGGAGGATCATCAACACTTTGTAGACAGGAGCCCAGTGCTAAGAGAGAAATTGCAAAAAATAAATCCCTGTGGTATAACTTCAACTTACCAGTTCAGAGAAGACCATGTGCAGAACTCCGGAGACGCGGTGAAATCACAGAATTCAAAATTCCAAGCGTGGACCCCATCATTAAGTCATCCATTTACAATTGTTGATGGCAAATCCATCTACTCCAGATGGGGAAAGGTCACTCTCTCCTTTTTCCAGGGCAAGCCTATGAATAATTTGAGTGATTAAAGCTCAAATCAGGTGTGAAAATGAAAGATCAGGAAAACATGGAAGAGAAACCACACTCCCAAGGAGATACTCAGCCTTCCTTCTGGAATCAGAAAAGGCTCCCTCCATTCCCTACTGCCACAAAATACAGGTGAGCTCGTACGTTTGTTTTTTTTTTTTTCTCCCAAAGAGTTGTCACTTTTAAAGGCACACTGAAATCTTATTTTTACTTTTTAGGTCTCCCTTCTTCCATCGGAGATGACCTAAATTTTGAGCTGAAGCACTCACAGCATCCTCGCTTGGAAGAGAAAACAAGAGCAAAAAAACATCAGGCTGCGAAAAGAGGCAAAATAATAGGAGGGAAAATTACAGTGAAGACCTCCCTGAATAACTGGAGGTCACAAACGCTGCAGAAATAGATGCTGAAGTGGTGCTACCCAGAGCCAGTGGACACAAAGTGGTTGAATTCACAGAATCCTGTCAGAGGGACAGGTGGGCAGGATGTGAATCGAAGCAGTTCTGGGAATACCCAAGAGCTCTCAAAATTTCCCTTCAAATATATCACTGTACTCTTGGTGCAAAAAATGTCACGGATGCCAAAATCCAAGAGCCTCCTGTCACAAAAAAAACCCCAACCAAAACAAACCAACCAAAACTTGAAAGCTTACAAGGAGTGTTCAAATGGAATTAAACAGCTACAGAAAGGGGTAGAGGGAATATTTTATATGCAATGAAGAAAAATGTATGGAAACACATATACAACCAGGTAACCAGCAGTGGAGACAACTGAACATTCACCCACCTCATTATTAACAAAAGAACTCCCCAAATGTACTTGCAGAAACATTTATTTTGCTTTATTTTATCATCTTAAACAGCCAACAGAAACTAAGATTATAATCTGTGCCTTTTTAAAATTCCATTCAACAGATGTTCATAAGCAGACTTGAGCCAAATTTCAGCTCCCCAAAAGGATATTCAGCCCGAGAACTTTTACAAATGGATGATAAAGTCCCGCTTTTCCCCTTGTAATCATTGCTTTTCTGGGACATCAAATCCTCTCTTAGCCTCATTACAAGTTCCCACCAGCATAAAATGTATTTTTCATTTCCATTTCCTATAGTATTGTTTTCCAAAAATGGCATTTTCCAGCACAAGACAACTCTCCCTCACTCCTTTTTTATGTCATCTCCTCAATACGAAAGGATCATCTTAGTGACAAGGCTCTGTTCTTTTAAAAAGATGAAAAAAAACCCCTCAACTGGTATTAATAAATATTTACTTAATGTAAAGAAAAGGGAATTCAATAGTTAAGGATTAAAATTACAGGGGGGGAAAAAAAAGGTGTTTGGAAAAGCAAGGCTGTAAGAAGTTCAGTGCTGTTTATGAGAATGACTGTTCAATGGCTCCTTCTGGGACACAGTGAGATGACTTCTTTAAAAGTATGGTCTAGAAATACCCCCAAATCACAGAAATTATAAGTCACTCGAGGATTTCAGATGCAATACAAAATTAAGAAATATCAGGACACATAATGAAAATGGTGGAATGAAAACAGCATCGCACTGACTTGTCTGTGTTAAAAGGAGAAGGGGGGGGGCTGAAGTGAAAGGTTTTATTTTTACTTAATTACTCTCAGTGTTCCCTGGGGACTCCTTCCAAAGCATATTTTGCATTTGGACCTAAATGCAAGCAGGATTCAGCCTTGATCTTATTCCTTATGACAATACGTTTCTTAAATTAGAAGTCCCACAACTGGAATGTTGACACCACTGCTGGTACCTCCAGCACCTCAGAGGCTCTCCTGTGCTATCAATCTGTTAACCTGGGAAGCAGAGGGGGAAACATTGTTTAAAATAAAAAACAACAATCCAGAAAATCATATTTCGTAAGCTTATAGCACCTTTCATCCAAGGATTTCAATGGACGTGGAAATACGAAGTCTCAAAATGGTTAAAAGAAAACCCGCCAAACCCACCCAACTTTAAGGTATTTTGAAAGGATAATGTATAAATTGAGTGAGCATCCACCTGTGATGCGATTTAAGAGTCTCCTACTGCAGCATTTCACACATATTCAATCCACCTTCTGGTTACAGCGTGCAAGTTTGTGGTATGTAGAAGGAACAGCAGAGCTGGTTAAAGATTTTCTCTTGCTTCACATACTCTGCAAGCTTCTCATTAACTCATACATGACTTTAATCAGTGCTGAAGCACACACTTCCTTCAGCATGCAGGACTGGGCTGGGGGGAAAAAAATCCTCAATAAAATATTATTGCAACCACGAATTAGTAAAGAAAAAAAGCAACATTTTCCTAAAGTGGCTCCTGATTTTCATCTCTAAAGGGTTAAACCGACCTTCACCGATCCAGAAGAGGTAATAAAATAGAACTTTAAGGACAAAAACGCAGCACTTCAAGAGATTATTATGAAGAGCCACATTCAAGGAGACAAAACCTTATTCTTAAAGCACAGATGCTTCTAAAAACAAGAGATCGCACGTTTTTAACAGCACATTGCCAAGCGCTTATAATGAATAAGCAGAACGAGGGTGGGTTTTTTCTCTTTTTTTTTTTTTTTCCCTTGGGTAGCTCAGAGGGAAGGACCATTTCATGGATGTGCTCAGAAGGCAGCGGGCATCCATGGCTCGTGCCGGCAAGAGCCAGCTCTGCCTTTCTGCAGGCGCTGTGGGCGGTGCCGTTGGTCAGAGAGTGGGTATATGCTCGTGTGTGGCTTAGTGGGTGCGGTGGCCGCGGGGGAAAAACACAAGGTACCCGCCTGAGACAAAACCCCCTCAGGGCCGTTCCTGATCCTATACATCACAACCCCTATCAGCGTTCATTGGGGGAACTGAGTGCCATGGGCAGCTTCCGTGGAGATGTTCGGCGGAGGGGTTAGTGTCAGGGCTGACCAAGCCGAGCGAGGCCTTACCACCATCAGCAGCTCTTGTTCTTGTTCCTTTCAGCCTTAGCAGGCGGATGTGACGCTCCTGGAAGCGTGAGCGGTCTGGGGGGGGGGGGTGGCGGGGGGGGGAGCGGCAGTAGGGAGAGAGAGGCAGAGCCAGGATCATAGTTTAGCTTTTGTCCTCTCTGCACAGGGTTAATAGGAGGACACGAGTGTAACCGGGACAGGGGGATGGATGGGGGGGTGAGGGGTGATCGCAGCTCCCTGCGGGGCTAAGGGAGGGTGCGCTGGGGGGGGGTCCTGTGCGAAGTCAAACACCCGGGGGCGAGGGGAGGGGGAGAGAAACGGGGCAAACTTCCCCTCAACGTGGCGGGGCCCTGCTTATCCAGCGCAACCGAGCGCCCCGTGGGGTGGGGTGAGCCCAGCGCCTTATCTGTGGGGCGCAGGGAGAGCGGCTCCCAGGGAGGGAGGGAGGGAAGGAATGAGGGGAAAAACCCAGGTGCGCTGACACACTGAAGGATGGCGGGGGGGGGGAGGCGGCACAGGCGGCGCCGCTGTGGGAGCCGCTCTGAGGGCGCTCAGGGCACCGCGGCGAGAGGGTGGGGGGAAGCTTAGAAACGACCCCTCAACCTTGAAACAGGGGAAAGTTTCCAAAAACTTTGGCGCGTCCCCCCCCCCCAACCCCTCACAGCGACCCCCTCAGAGGGTGAGGGGAGGGGGGGGGCGCTGTTCCCGCCCCCGCCGCAGGGGGAGGGGGGGGCGCTGTTCCGGCTCCGCGCCGCGTTTTCCCGCTCGCTCACCCCCCCCCCCCCGCTCCGCGCAGCGCTCCCCGTGCCTCCTCACTCCTCCGCGCCTCCGGATCCCTCCGCCGCAGCCGGCGCTGGGCTTTTTTCACCTCCCCCACCCCCCATCCCTTACATCCCGATTATCCCGCCGGAGGGGGGGGAATGCGGGAAGGGAAAGTCTTATCCCCCCGTTCCTGTAAGAGTGTCCAGGGTAAGGAAGGGCGCGACGGAGCGTTTTGCTGAGTGAGGCGGAGGAGGCGGTTGGGACTACTTGGCGTTCCTGCCACGGCCTCGGCGGAAGGAGCGCGCTGTGCGAGAGGCTGCGCGGTGCTGCGGCTCTCCTCAGCGCTTCCTGGAAACTCCCGCTTAGGAGCGGGGGGGGGGCGGGGGGAGCCCTGGGAGGGAAAGAGTCCCAGGCCGGGAATGGGAGAAGGGAGGGGGCACGTCATAGCTCCCTCTCCCCATGCCCGGACACCCCCCGAGCCCGCTGACACCCCTCAAGCAACCCCACCTCCCCTCAGTTCCTGTGCAGATGGAGCAGGGAGAAGTGAGGGATAAACTCCTTCGTAACCGCCGTGCAGGCTGGGGGAGGGGGGGCAGACCCCCCCCGTTTTCTCCTCATAACCCGATGGGGGGAGGGAAAACCCACAGTTTTCCCTCAAAACCCGGCGGAGTGGGGGGCAGACCCCCCTTTTCCCTCACAACGCGGGGAGCTCCCCTCAGCACCCCCAAAACTGAGGGGTGGGGAGAACGCAATGGGGTGGGTGGGGGGCGAAAAGACCCTCACCCAAGGGAGGGGGCAGGAGGCAACGACCCTCTAAACAACCCCATTCCTCCCGTGTTCCTTGGGCTGGGGGGCGATCCCTGGATCCGGGGGCTGGGAGCGGGCTGAGGGGGAGGGGAGGCCGGGCTGGTGAACGCGAACGCTGGTACAGAAGCGTTTTAGCACAATCGGGCTGGAAAGCTCCAACTGCAACGGGGCTGAGAACAAAAAAAAAAAAAAAAAAAAAAAAAAAAAGAGAGGAAAGAAAAAAAGTGAAAAGGCTCCTTTGCTGCCCTCTGCCTGCCGAGGCTGCGGGGGAGCCCGGCCGCCTCCTCGGCTGGGGAAGGGCTCGCACATTTCCTGGGTGGAAAAACTGAGGAAACGGGGGCCAGCTCGCACACCTGTGGTGCTTTCACAGAATCGCAGGATCCGTCAGGTTGGAAAAGACCTCTGAGGTCATCGAGCCCAACCTTTCCCTGCTCAGGATGCGCTGAGTTATCCTTTGTCCCAGGCGTGGATGCGCTGCTCTTCACCTCACTGCCCGAAAACTTCAATAAGGGGTAAAACTCATTCCCGTTAGAGTCGGCTGAAGGATGTCTCCAGGCTGAGAGGGCTTTGGGATCTGCTGTTTAATACTTAAATTATTTAACCAGACAACACTAAAAATGCATAACATATGCAAGCCACAAAAAAAAAAAAGGAAAAAACAGGAGGGGAAAGCGAGTCTGCTGACACACAAACACGGCCAGTAAATACCGTGTGGTTCATTAGATACGGGCTGGGGCGATTCTGCCCAGCAGTTAAAGGCCTCTCACTTCCTCTGCCTGCTCCAGATTGTTGCCTTGTACAAGCTCCTCTCTCCAGCTCTGCCGGTTCCCAGTTTGCCACCTTTTAAATGTGGAGCTGTTGATCCTCTCTGCTGTTGCAGTGCAACACTTTGATGCCAAAAAACCCCCCTTCCTCCGCTGAATCCACAAGTTTCAGGGATGCTGGGACTACTCAGGAAAAGCAGGCAACATGTAATGAAATTATGTGGAAGAGAAGGATCCATTAGAGCAAGGAGATACCCGTAAATCCTGTTAGCAGCCAAGCATTTCCATAGAAATTTCCTGATTCTGGATGCCCCGCACCTTTCCTACGCTTCCCTTTCCTTAACACCACTCCTAAATCTCTACATGGCTTCATTTACAAACCTAAAACCCAAATGTAAATGGAGGGGGGAGGATCTCTTTGAAGTCCTGTCTCCTTTGTGGGTTTTAACTCTTAAATTTCGTTGTTCAGGGTCTACTGGAAAGAGCAGCCTCCAGCTCTTGGAGTAGGAATCATCTCTTGGCTTTACACTCCTCCAGCACCACTCAGTTAAGGATGAGCTGTGTGGTTTTAGTCCTTTTAGTATCTTTTAGTTACTTTCTCTTTGTTGTACTTTTATTCCTTTGCTCTTTGTACTCCAACCGGTGCAGAACGGCTTCCAAGTACGCGGATTTATTCTGTCAGCCTCGCGCTGCTTCCCTTAAACATCAAAATATTAAAACACAAAAGCTCCCTGATTACTCATCAGCAGATCGGTGACTTTGCACACAGACAGCTTTCTCTGGAGCAAATTAAAACAACTCCTTCAAAAAAATTTGGGCTGAGTTGGATTGTTTCCAGATCCTTTTTTTTTTTTTTTTTTTTTTTTTTCCCCTCAATAAAAAAGGCAGGTCCCAATAAACAGCCGCTGTAGAGAAGCTGATGGCTCACCACATTGTGATGCTGGTGGTTTTGGTTTCACTGCAGCCCTGTGTTTAGAGTGCACAAGAAGGGAAAATGTCACTTTGCCCACATGTCCCATAAGAATAAATCATCCTGGATACTTCAAATGGATAAAGCGTCCCCCAACAAAGAGCTCATTTCTTAGTCTGCACTGCAAAGCATGATGATGCCTGGTAGATAGTTTAAATTGTCATAGGAGAATTATCAAAAGCCTAAAAAAAACCCCCAACACATTAAAACGAAGAACTGAAATTCTTCAGCTGCAGGAAATTCAAGTGTTGGAGAGAAAAAAGCCCACAGCACCCTGATATCAGGAACTCTTCATTGAGGAAAAGTGGTTTATTCCTACATGTCCTTTTCAGTGTGCTCTTGTCTAAGTTATTGTTTGTCCTCTTGTTTTTATGGCAACCACTCCAGGACTGACCACTTTAATATTCACTACTCGAGTGTTTGCAGTGATTCCTGAGAACTGGGAGGGATAATGTGCCCAACACAGGGATCCTCAGCACGGCTGTGTAGGGGGTGAAGATACACCTTGAGAAGTCTCAGGTTCTGAGATTAAGTCTAAATCAATTATTCTGACTGAATTTTGTTCAATTCATGATGTTAATTGCCTGCCTGGAGACTGTTTAAAATTTGAAACCATTTCATAACTTATACATAAAGATTTTGCAGTTGGGAGTGATTTGTTGATACCAGATTTGATACAAATCCCTCTCCTGCTGTTTTTTTGGCTCTCTGGTGCCAGGTGGAAGGGCAACCCTGCTTAGTTTGGGAAAACAGATGATCTGGTTGAGAATTGTGCTTTATTTTAAGTAATTACCAGATCCAGGGTAGTATTTACACCTGTATTTTTCATGTTCTGGCTGATGACATTTTTTTATTATTGAAGTTGCTCAAGCAACTCCATCTCAAGCAGAAATTCTGCTGAATCCAGACTAGCAGAATCCAGTAAAAAAAGGTGTTAGTTTTCTAAAGCTGCAGTTGCAGCACTGAGCACAGCTTAACCAGGGAGAGCTGAGGTTATTGGCCTGGAGTACTCGGGCCTTGCTACATCTGCAGTGGTATCACTGAAACATCGCTGGAACACGCTGCAAGAGACTCTGCTCTTCATCTTCCCGGCCTCCTGCCAGGCCTCTGGCGGAGGATGAGGGAAGTTTAGAGGAGCTTCCCAAATGGGAAAGGAAAAAAAAAAAAGTCATTTAAGTGATGTACTTGTGAATCAGCAGCTGAAGAAACGTCATGTGAAGGGAATC